CAGTAATACTGATGATCATAATAACATTAATGATATTAATAATAATATGATATATAATAATAAGTTTCATCAACTTAAACAACAATAATGCTAATCAAGATCATTATTATGATAACAATAATGACAATAATATTAACAAATATGAATAGTAATAACTGTAATAGTATTAACAATAACGATGATGATGATATGATAATGATAATCATAGGGGTACTTACTACTAAAACTAATAATAATAATGATGATAATTATAATAAAAAAGATAAAAACACCACCACCAAACAATAACAATAATAATGAAATGTAATAAAGATAAAGATAATATTAATAATAATGTACACATGGTATAGATGAGAATGAAAATCTTCACACAGTACAAGAAATGCATTTCATCGGTATCGAATATATCTTATAATGATGCAAAAAATAAGGATGGTAATTATAATGATAACGATAACAGTAATAACAATACCAATAATCAATGATAATGATAATGATGATAATAATATGATAATAATAGTGATAGTAATAACAAAATGAATAATAATAATAATAATAATAATAATGATGATGATGACAGTAATAATAATAATAATATAAACAATAACAGCAATACCAAATATGGAACTAGTGTGGAAATGGCCTTTTTTGGTAAGCGAGCCCATCACGTAGCAAATTCCTAGTAGTTCCAATATTATTGAATGAATGGCGGTCGACGTATGTGATTGGTGGAGAAAATTGGTAGGGTTGGAAATGTAACACGTCTATGCTATATTTCGCCATCTATTTATACCATAAGATCAAGGCTAAATGAAAGAAAATCAATATTCCTTGTTCTTTATCATCCCTTTATACCATGAGAAATAACGATAGAGCGAATAATGAAAATAAACAAAGGAAAAAAACAAGTAAAGTGAGCTCTAGTTCACCTCTCCGCCGGCCGCACGTGAACGCCATTCATTCATAAAGAGCCGGTGTACTAGGGCGACCTTGCCATGTGGTGGAAAGGCTTACTATAAAGGGTACACTCACTCCTTTCCTTAACTGTACTCCAACGTCTACCACGACTATGACAACAACAACAACACCTACTACTACTACTACTACTACAGCCAATACTACTACTACTACTACTACTACAACTGCTGCTGCTGCTTTTACTACTAGTAGTACTACTGTTATTGATGCTGCTGACGTTACAACTCTACTGCTAGTAATATTGTTGCTGCTACTTTGCTGCTGCCTCTACTACTATACACACACTACTCTTGCTGCTCCTGCTGCCACTACTACTACTTATACTACTACTTCTGCTGTTATTGCTATTACTATTACTACCACTGCCACTATTACTGTTACTACTGCTGCTGCTACTGCTACTACTACAACTATTTCTACTATTACTGCTACAACTACTACCTACTACTATCCTTACTTCTTCTGTTATTACTATTGGGAACGGCAATAGCAATAAAGTTATAATAACAGTGTTAGTGATGATATAGTAGTACTCTTTAACATAATAACCGTCAAAAGGAAAATCGTTGCACAACAAAAATATTAACAAGGATGATATATAAATGTATAATAAAAATATATAATGCTAACAACAATAATGATAATGACAATAACAATAATAGTGATAACAGTACTGACACTAATGAAAAAATTGCCATCGGTAACGGTCATAACAGGAATGCCAATATTAGCAGTAATAAGAACAGGTAATGTATGTCGTTTCATCATGACCTGGATTTCCAGAAAACTACTTTTGCCCCTTTCCGGTTGCTTAAACGAAGAGAGAGAGAGAGAGAGAGAGAGAGAGAAGAGAGAGAGAGAGAGAGAGAGAGAGAGAGGAGAGAGAGAGAGAGAGAGAGAGAGAGAGAGAGAGAGAGAGAGAGAGAGAGAGAGAGAGAGAGAGAGAGAAGAAGAGAGAGAGAGAGAGAGAGAAGAGAGAGAGAGAAATATTCAGGGACGTGAGAAGACGGCTAGGCAGAAAAATATCGATAAAATTAGAAATAGAGAAGAGGGGAAGGTACCAGGAAGAGAACATGCAATGGTGCAGCCCCTCGTCTCCTACCTCCGCCTCAGCCTCCAGCCTCCCCCAAGCACAGACCTCCAATGCGGGGGCACCATGGCCGTCGCTCTCTCGCACTCTCGCCCCAGGGATAATCTGAGTCTTTGAGTGGCCGCTCTTGTGAATCGTGAGTCGGGAAGGGCACCCAATCAGTCAGCGAAATTTTATCGAGGCACTCGTGGCACACAGATAGGGGCAGAGAGACACGCCATGTGATCGCCGCGTCCAAATGTTTCCACTGAGCTGAGTCACTCTTTGGAAAATTCCTGTCGAGGTCGGGCTGATGGGCGCGCTGGGCATCGGGGGTTCGAGGGAAGGGCGCTGGTGGGCGGCTGGGGGGTAGGGGAGGGTCCCTCGGTCTAAAAAAGTTATTGTTCTGACCGCAGTTCCTCTCCGGCCCCGCCTCGCCCACTCAAAGGTACGTTCAGCAGGCTTATTCGGCGAGAAAGTGCTGCCAAGGAATGTCCTTCTTTGGTTTTTGGTGACCATCGGCGATTCCGGTGAAGGGGGGGGGGGTGGAGCCAGATTGGGGCATGAAAAGGCTTTGAAATTAGATAATGTACACAGCCACATACATATAGATGAAATGATAGATATGTGAGTGTAGATGTAGATATAGGTATAGATGTAGATATAGGTATAGGTATAGGTATTGATGAATACATATACACGCAGACTCAATAACAATCTTTTCTGTCTCTCTCTCCTCTCTCTCTCTCTCTCTCTCTCTCTCTCTCTCTCTCTCTCTCTCTCTCTCTCTCTCTCTCTCTCTCTCTCTCTCTCTCTCTCTCTCTCTCTCTTTCTGTCTTTTCTCTATCCCTCTTTCACACACGCGCACAAAAACACATACTTAAACATATCCCTCTAAAACCGACACACACGCACTTCAAACATACCATCACACAACACACGCACACACACACAACACCACACACACACTCACACACACATCACACAACACACACACACACACACACACAACACACACACACACACACACACACACACACACACACACACACACACACACACACACACACACACACACACAACACAACACACACACACACACACACACACACACACACACACACACACACACAACACACAACACACACACACACACATACACACGCACACACACACACACACACACAAACAACACACAAACACACACACACACACACACACACACACACACGCACACACACACACACACACATACACGCTCTCTTCTCTTTGAGATAGTTACCCCTCGTCTCTGTATTCCTCAAGATTGCCGTTATATAGAGATCGTGACGTAAGAAACGGAGGGTCGTATGACAATGGGGCCAATAAAATGCTTATCGACCTTTCTCATAATCCTCTTATGGGTCCCGGTTCCTTTGGCAATATCTCATGAATTTTCATGATTTTCAGTTGATATTCATTTCCGACATATGTGCGTGTGCTTGCGTGCGTGTGTGTGTGTGTGTTTGCGTGTGTGTGTGTGTGTGTGTGTGTGTGTGTGTGTGTGTGTGTGTGTGTGTGTGTGAGTGTGTTTGTGTGTCTGTTTGGGTGGGTGAGTGAAAGTATCTATGTACTTGTGTGTGTTTCTAAGTATGTGTGTGTGGGTGGGCGTGTAAGTGTATCTATGTGCGTGTGTTTTTTGTGTGCGCTTGTGTGTGTGTGTCCGTGTAAAATTATGCATATGTAAGAACGTCCGGTCCGGTTTTGCTTGTTTTTTAGTAAATAAGTCACATATGAATGGTGTTATTAATGTTTTTGTCATAAAAAGAGAAAGTAGGTTACTAGGGAATATAGGTATTTCCTTGTACCTTGCATTGTTTTCTTCTTCTTTTTCCTCCTCTTCCTCCTGCTCCTCATCCTCCTTCTCCTCATCGTCGTCTTCTTATTCTTTACTTTTTCTTCTTACTTGGTATTTCAAAACATCTAAATACATTTAAATGTATTTTGCAACACTGCTATCTCGCATAATTATTCAACCTCTACTTTCATAAGAACATTCACTCTTGAAAGTCAATACTGAGAAATCGGATTACTACCACGACTACTAATGCTGCTGCTGCTGCTACTACTACTGCTACTACTACTACAACTGTTACTGCTCTAGAGAGAGAGAGAGAGAAAGAGAGAGAGAGAGAGACAGACAGACAGACAGAGAGACAAAGAGAGAGACAGAGAGAGAGAGAGAGAGAGAGAGAGAGAAGAGAGAGAGAGAGAGAGAGAGAGAGAGAGAGAGAGAGAGAGAGAGAGAGACAGAGAGAGAGAGAGAGAGACAGAGAGAGAGAGAGAGAGAGAGAGAGCACAGGAGGAGCAGAGAGCAGGGAGAGAGAACAGACAGACACACATACCCAAGGGACCTCCCATATTCACGGCATGAATGACAGATAAAGTCATTCCTGTCACACGCGAGAAACCCTCCGGAAATCTCGAAGATCCTGCTGCCTCTCTCGCCACTTGACCTTCCCCGGCCGACGTCAGAGCGAACCAGCATGCGATTGCTGTCGTAAAGAGATAGAGATCTTTCTAGGAACTCAATCTCCATAAGGTGATCCCTCCTCCCCCTCTTTCTCCTCCTGTTGTTTCTTTCTTTTTCTCTCTTTTCTTTCTTATCTTCCTCCTCTTCTTTCTTTCTTTTCCTCCTCTTTTTTCCTGTTATTTCTTTCCTTTTCTCTTTTCTCTTCTCATCTTCATCCTCTTCCTACTCCTCTTCTTTCTTTTTTTCCTCCTCTTTCTCCTGTTATTTTTTTCGTTTTCTTTTTTTCTTCTTCTTCTTCTTCTCATCTTCCTCATCTTCCTACTTCTCTTCTTTCTTTCGTTTCCTCTTTTTATATCTCCTCCTCCGCTTTGCTATTTTCTTTTTTTTCTCCTTCCCTTTCTTATCCTCCTCTCCTCTCCTTCCCATCCCCTCTTTTCTATTCTCTCCTCTCTCCTTCCCACCCTCTACCCTCTATTCTCTCCTCTCTCCCTCTACCCTCCACTCTATTTTCTCATCTCTCCTTCCCACCCCCCCCCTCTTGTCCCTCCTCTCTCCTTCCCACATCTCCCTCTATTCTCTCCTCTCACCTCCTCACCCCCTTCCTCTCCCCCCTCTCTATTCTCTCCTCTCTCCTCCTCTCTCCCCATTCCCCTTCCTCCCTTCTCTTCTTCCCCACATCCCCCCCCCCCCCTCCCTCCTACGTCCACTCCAGCGCATGCCTGCCGTTACGTCATTATGTACAACAGAAACGCAGTTTTAGGAGTCGACCTTCTCACATTTTTTGTTTATGTTTCTTGTGATTGTAACCTTAACCCTCATTAAGGTAGGCAGGTAGGTATGTGTAGGTAGTAGAGAGAGAGAGAGAGAGAGAGAGAGAGAGAGAGAGGAGAGAGAGAGAGAGAGAGAGAGAGAGAGAGAGAGAGAGAGAGAGAGAGAGAGAGAGAGAGAGAGAGAGAGAGAGAGAGAGAGAGAGACAGACAGACAGAGAGGAGAGAAGACAGACAGACAGACAGAAGACAGAGACAGACAGACAGAGAGAGAGAGAGAGAGAGAGAGAAAGTAGCAAGGATGAAAGCGAGAGATATGGACCATGGTGATCACATTACTGCTACCAATAGTAATTATAATGACGTTAATAACATTTATTGCCATGAATATGATAATGATAATGGCGTTTATCATCGACAGATGATATTAGATATAGTAAAAATAGTTATGCCTTTTATTTGCATTGATATTAATGATAGCATAATAGTGATGAAAATGACCATTCTAATGACACCAATAATGATAATAATGATGATGATGACCATAATGATGGTACCAATAACGATAATAATAATGATAATGACCACAATAGTGGTACCAATAATGATAATAATGATAATATCTATCACTATGGAACAGTAATAAGGCTAATGATAGTGATAGCGATGGTGATCGTGATGATAATAATAGCGTTAGAAGCAATGGAAAAGTTTCCGAAGCTGCAAATATTTTCTTCTCCATCTTCACCACACTTATACCATGACGCCCACAGTGGTACCGCATTTAACCACACCTCCCACACTCCCACTACTGGCGCCTTCCTTCTCGGCAGCCCACGCCCACTCTCCACCGTCTGCTCCCCCCCTCCCCCCCTTCCCCTCACGTTTCCCAGCACACATAAACGTAACACGCACATACACGCACGCAAATACACGCTAAAATGGACAGTCGCATCCATTTATGAGCGTAAGCATACACAATCAGATGCCATCGTTTTTTTTTCTTTCTTTCTTTCTTTCTCTCTTTCTCTCTTTCTCCTCTCTCTCTCTCTCTCTCTCTCTCTCTCTCTCTCTCTCTCTCTCTCTCTCTCTCTCTCTCTCTCTCTCTCTCTCTCTCTCTCTCTCTCTCTCTCTATCTCTATCTCTATCTCTCTCTCTCTCTCTTTCTCTGTCGCATATGCCACACACAGACTCACAGAACTATGAGCAGTGTTTTTGAGTGTGGTAATTGCTAGGAAATGTTAACAGTGTTTTTATACTTCATAATCCAAGCCACGTTCTTGGCAACGTGACAAGAAAGAGGGAGGAGACTAAAAGAAAGAATAAGAAAGAATCAGAGAGAGAGAGAGAGAGAGAAAGAGAGATACAGACAGACAGACAGACAGACAGACAGACAGAAAGAGAGGGAGAGAGAGAGAGAGACTAGAGGGCAATAAGTTAGAAGAGAATGATAGAATGTGAGAAACACATTCAGAGACAGAAAGAGATTGAGTGAAAGAGAGAGAGAGAGAGAGAGAGAGAGAGAGAGAGAGAGAGAGATAGAAGAGAGAGAGAGAGAGAGAGAGAGAGAGAGAGAGACGAAGAAGAAGAGAGTGAAAAAATGAAGAGAGAATGACCTCAAAAATTCCTGTAAACTTCTTTTTTTCACTACATACGCAAATACATCTTTCACAATACATACCGCACATTCCACAAACCAACATTCAGTACCGACAGACTTATGTCATCATTCCAAGTAAAGCAACCCCCCTCCCCCCCCTCAATTAACATTAGCATTAACGTCCTCATGCTAATTCAAAGACTCATAAGTTCTCCTGATCGCCAGCGGCTTCGTACAATCTTAAGTTACTCCTCTGACGTCACTGCGCAAAGTCTTCGTCTGGACAAGTTCTTGAGTACCTTCTTTGACCTTTTCCCTTCTGTCTACCTTCGTCTGGTGGTCTGCAAAGGGGGAGTCTGCAAATCTTCTTATCTGTTTGTTTGTTTGTTTCAAATCTGATTGTCTAATTGTCTGTTTCGTATCTCCTTATCTTTTTGTTCGTTTCAAATCTTCTTGTCTATTTGTTTGTATCAAATATTCTTATTTGTTTGTTTGTTTCAGATATTACTATCTGTTTATTTTTTTGCGTCAAATCTTCCTGTCTATTTGTTTGTTTCAAGTCTTCCTATCTGTT